AAGAAGGAAGTCATATACGCCTAGGATGGCTTGAGGGTGAGTAAACAATGGGCTTATTTTCATTTTTGGGTGAACTATCCCTTTAAGTAACTTTACGTCCGTGTCCGCATATGTGTCCGTCTGACAAATATGATAGACTAACAAATATAAAACAGTGCAGATGAACCACAAGGCATGCTATATGCCTCTGCCAATACAGTCATGCAAATACAACATCGGTTGTTCTTGAAGGTGCTGGCAAGCGCTTAGGAGACATTTACATTCATAACTGATAATACTACAGGGTTCTTCCTAGTTGACTTTAACAGCAGGTGTAAGACGTACCGTTTTTCTACTCCCACTGCTAATTAAACACTCATTAAAGGGTCAATTATCCAGGTGCCTCCAATTTTCTCTGCTGGTACAATGTTAAGCTCCAACATGAAACAGCTTAAGGAACACAAATATGGTTTGGGTACATTTTATGTTCCGGTGGACTCAGCAGGCAATTGAGTCAAATTAGAAAACAGGATGACGTTCATTCATATTTATAGACACCTATACAACACCATGATCATAGAGATTTGTTCTCGTCTGCAGGAAATCAATTATATCAGTCATGTCATGTTAGATCATGCATGCTAGAAGAACAAGTGCTAAACATGAGAAACTAACAATGAATTCTCTGTTTTATTGTCTTCATGCTATGCAATACACTATACATGAATAAATGTGTAATTCATTTTACAGTGCACATGATGGATGTGCAGATGGTGTCTGATGTGTTTGGTTGCTGTTTGTCTGTAGAGTTGTTAAGGATGGTACATCAAATACAAGTCAATGTTATTTCTCTAGAGGACAGAAGAGAAGGGACATGATGAAGTACATTACAAAGAAATATATCAATATGTGATCTACTGCCAGCTGAACTCTCCAAACAGTCTGTACAATAACGACTGCATCTCATGATTGATTGGCTGTCAGCAACATTGAATGACCCAACAAATCTTTACATCTAACAGGTCACTATAGAGATACTTGTTTGTTCACATAAAAGCACCAGTTAAGTGCATTTTAGTTTTGTTTTTT